TAATATGGTATATCGTCGCTGCCACTATATGAGTTTTAGAAGCACGTTTGTCTGCAATACAGTACACCTTCTTGAGGCGGGAGGAGGAAGTCGAAAATAATTAGCAAACCTCCCTGCGAACAGGTAGAGGAAAGACCTCGGTTGGAATTTTGCTTCAATCTTCGAAAACCTCCCCACGATCAATTGTGAATCAGGTTGTTTGGGAATAGAAGATACGACTACAACTTCAGGGGCACTTTTTGAAAGCTGTTCTACTCAGGCGTCGACAGCGTTGGTAAAAAGAGAACGAACTTAGAGGCCCTGCTAGTCAGGAAAGCGGAGCGGTGACTGCTGGCAGCACCATCAACAACACACTTCGATTCCGGCTAGACGACATTGCAACCCAATCGACGGGACGAAGGCCCCGAACAACGGCAACTTCGTCGGGGGTCGATTTCGGCTAAAGTAAATAGAAGGTTGAAAAACGGCTGCGAAGAGACGTTAGAGCAGACCAACGAAAAAACAGCACTTCGAGAGAAAGAGGCTGACTCACGTAAATTAGGCAACTGAAAAACGACGGCATCTTTCGAATTTACCCGTCGGGTAATGCAGCCCTGGTAAGGAACTAGCAACGTCGTGCCTGCTTTCAGAAGTGAGTGAAAACACAGCCTTTCTATGAAGAATAATAGTTTGACAACTGGCGATTGATATATGGCGGGGGTCAATACCGTCCATTCTTAAATAATAGCAGCTATGGACCAAGACCCGATGGTTAGGTTCATTCACAAATCATAGAACCTATGGTTTTCACCGAATAGAATCCAAGCAATACGCACAACACGTATACATGAAAATAACTACGTTTTCCCGACTGAATGACGATACCTGAAAAGTCCAGTGCAATGACCCTGCCAAAAGTTTTGCATTCATACCATCGTCCATCCGAGTAGTGTGTTGTGCTTGCTAAGGTCATCAATTTGAGCCGTTTGCATGAACAAACATCTCAATTTTGTAGTATCCGTTGTATTCACAATTTTACGACAATTTAGCTATAAGGCACCAGATTCTGCGCCGTAGAAAATAAATATTCCTCTCCAACAGAATATCTGCCTCTACCTTGTTCATTCATGCTGAACTCTTGATCGACTTCTGACATATTTTGGTTTTTAGCATCTGATGAAATGGATTAAACTGTGCACATGGTAAATGCTGAAACGGTTTGTCTGACACAGCCAACCACCTCTTCTTAACCTACACACCTACACCCTTATATTCGGAAAAGGATACAGTCATTCATTAAATGTGGCCCTGTCTTTAACCCTCACTAGGTGTCAGAGTCAGCGCTGTTGAGTGCAGATCAACCGTCATTTTTGCCCCTATTTAGAATAGCTGTATCCATGCCATGCAATAACATAGATCTAACAGAGGCAAGACACAGACGGACTGCCATGGAAATGGCAATTCCTTGCTCAGCCTAAATATTTTACAAGCGATCAAAGCTAAAGCAATCCCCAATTTACTTCTGGCAGAATAGTGCCATCGATGCAGATGATGGAACCAAAATACTTAAATTGGACAACCTACTGAAAAGCTTCACTTCAATGCTTCATTTGTAGATTAGCTCTACCG